GGCAGTAAAATTCCTTCCTGGCCCCAAATATGGGGATTGGCCTAACCCTGATACTGAGCCCAAACATTTCTGTGTAAACAACCAGGGAGAGTTGCATGCATGGGACAGTGCATGGTTTCATGTTTTCAAAGTCTTCTCCTGAAGAAGTTCTCAGGAACGTGAAAATTCACTGACTGAAACCAAAAACAAACCAAAATATTCTCTGCTGTGAAACTACTCTAAGTTGGTTGTCTCTCTGACCTCCCCCAAATATCTAACATACTGGCACTGCAGAGGCGGGAAAGACTCCTGGGAAGATCAGAGTCTCCTAACTAGAAAGATAAACACTGTGACAACCTCAAGACCCACAGCAACCCCATGGTTTATAATGTTTTTCTAACCTAAGTCCCGGCCATGCCCCCTGCGTGCTTAGATATGCTATTGTAATGAGATGTTGTTTTATAAGCTGACACAGAAGATCAACTGTAAGAAGGGCGCAACAAATGTTAGGGCATTTTTCTTTTGCTGTTCAAACAAAGCCCCTTAGAAGATATTTCACATCTGAGACCATCATTTGCAGGTTCAAAGGCAGATGGAATGTATGACATCACCAAAACACACTGGGACAGGGCCATGTGAAACTTGGTAGAAAAAAAAAAGTAATGGAAACCCAGTTAAAACCAGAACAGCAAGTTTCTAATTAACATGAAAACATTTATCCCTTAAAGGTAGCAATGGACACAGGCTAAAAAACAAAGATCTAGGTCCTGATTTGAACTTTTTGGGGATATTCAGGTATGTGTTTTAGGGAGGAAGTTGTTTATTTTGTACTTATCCTTTGGGAGCAGGTCAACAGACAATGAAACAAAGCTAATTTGTTGGGTCCTCTTAATTAATGATGTGTCCTGAACTTCATGTGGGCTAAGGCAGGGATTAGCAACTTACCAATATTCTGCAGGCCAGCTCCAGCCTGCAGAAAATTTGGATCCAGCCCATAGACCTGAGGCTTCAGCAGTGTTCAGTGGGGAGGGGACTTAGCCATAAGTGATTTCCTTGTGCTGCCACAGAGACAAGTGCAGTGGCAGCAGGAGGCTAATACAAAGAAACAAAGTTATTTAGGCATTAATTAAAATGATTATGTGTTCATAACATTTTCTTGGAGGTATTTTCTTTTTTATGAAATATACCCAGCTTGTGACTTGGCTGTTTAATGTGGCCCTGCCTCCAGCAAGACCAGGTCCAACAGCCATTCTATAGAGATATAAGAAGAATGTAGTTAGAATGAGAGGTGCAGCTGCTATATTGAATTCAAGTACCTCTGGATTGATGCCTAATATCCTGCAATGCTGCAGTAGGAAATTTTTAGGAGATGTAAAACAGGTAGGCAACCCATGGCATGTGTGCCAGAGTGTGATACATGCAAAAGCATTTTGCTTGGCACTCACATTTCAGGCTGGGTGATGGGAAAGCCACAAGGGGCCTGATCCTTGCTGTGGCAGTGAAGCCCTGGCTCCTTCCACACTGTCCACCTCGAGGTGTATGTGCACCTGTTGCCAGCAACAAGCCAGGCCAGGGCTCTCCAGACCCTAGTGCAGCTGCTTGCAGCCTCACTGCAACCTGCTGAAAGCTGCATGGGTTCCATGGCAGGCAGCAGAGGCCTTCCTAGAGCCTGAACTGGCTATGGCAGGCAGCCAGGATGATGCAAGTGGCTGCACCAGTGCCCGCGGAGCCTTGCTCTGGCTTGTCACTGATGGCGGGTGCACACGCGCCTCAGGGCAGGCAGTGGGGAAGGGGCCAGGGCTGCATTGCCCCAACAAAAATTAGGCCCCTCATGGCTCCTCTGCCATCTGTCCCTGGCATGCCAATATCTTGAAGTCAAAGTTGTGGGTGTTTTTGGCATTCTGTCCAAAAACGTTGCCGACCCCTGATGTAAGTTATGCTGGAAACAGGAACAACATTTAACTATGGAAAATTATCACCTTTGTAAAGTTCTTTGGATTAAGGTGCTGATTCTCAACCTGAGTGCTGTGGCACCCTTGAGTATGAGATCTTTTTAGTGGTGCTGCATAATATTAGGCACGAGAGCAGCTACACATGATTCACAAGATAAAACTGGGGATGTCAAAATGAATAAGAATCCACAGTATCAAAAACATTTTAACCTGTTGTCATCCTACTGAGGTCTTCACAATATAAGAATTGTGCTATTATTTTTCTGTAGTCAAGAATCAAGTCAAAGATAAGAGATGGCATTTTCCACAGAATGGCTTGAGTCTAACAATGTTGAGAATTGCTGGATTAATGGAATGGAGTATGAGCTGTAAAGAGGTCTCAGAGCTGCAGGCTGAAGTAAAAATGAGAATGCCAACCATGAAAAAATATTTAAAGAGGAGAACTGTATTTCTTGGAAGGGAAGTTATTTGTTTAGAGTGAAGAAACAGATTTTTTTTAGAATGGGAATAGAAGGATATGGATGCTTTGGAAACTGTCCAGTGCAGAGCAACAAAAATGATTAGGAGCCTTGAGGACAAGACTTATGAGGAAAGACTGAAAGGGTTATTTAGGCTGAAGAAGAGAAAACTGAGGGGAGATTTGATAACAGTCTTCAAATACTTGAAGGTCAGTTACAGAGAGGATAGAGATGGGAGTTTCTCCATGACTGTATGGGACAGAACTAGGAGCAATGGACTCAAGTTTCAGCAGGGGAAGTTTAGGTTGGAGATTAGAAGGAACTTTCTGATTATGAGAGTGGCCAACATTGGGATGGGCTACTTAGAGAGACTGAGGAATCACCATCCTTGGAAGTTTTCAACAGTAGGTTAAGCATGCTGGGATGGTTTATTCAGGGATGATCCTGTCTTGATCAGGTGGCTGGACTAGATGACCTCATTAGGTTCCTTCCATCTTTACTTTCCTATGATCCTATGAACTTTGACCCCTTTACTACAAAATAAATAATTTCTGAAACTGTGATTTCCACAAGCGTGAAATTGATACTCACAATGCCTAGCCTATAGATGTGTGTGGCAGAGCACAGGTTGTGCCTGCCACTTTAAGGGGTCTGAGGAGGCAGCAAGCAGCCTGCAGGTGGGAGCAGACCCAATCAGGCAATCACATGGTGGTCAGGAGGCCGCTTTATTGGTGGAGAGGCTGGGAGCCTGGGTATAAGGCTAGGCCCCAAGAGCAGAGCTGGCAGTTGCTGCAGGGGGCTGAAGCAACAACACATGGCTCAGCTGGAGATCTGTGGCTCCCAGAACAGCTTGGAGAGTCAGGGTAGGAACTATGGGGATGGAGGAGGTTCCTGGTTCTGGGGAATGACCTGAAACTACACCCTGCTGGGGTTGGATGGTGTGGCAGGGCTGCCTATGGCAGGGAAGTCTCCAGGAAATGCCACACCTGTGCCTCCCCAGTGAAGGGTGAGTACAGGACTCCACAAAGCCTCAGTCCCCACTGCCTTGTGGGTGACCCTGTAGAGGGGAAAGGCTGGGGAGCACACCCTGACAGAAAAGCACAGGGCCAAGGCCTACTGAGTGAACCCTGAGGCAGGGTTCAGCCTGTGCAAAGGGGGCTGGATACAGGGCCCAGGCCCACTGAGTGAGGCTTGGGGCCCCAGGGGCATTAAGCCCAACAGTACAGTGAAGGGCAGGGTATTGAGGACCCAGTGTGGGGGCATGGAAAGAAGCCCCAGCGTGGAGGGCACAAGGCTCAGGTAGGTCTGAGGAGTCCTGAGGTCAAGTTTGGGCCAGGTTAGGATAAGTGCAGCTCAGCTAAGGGGCTGGGGGAGTATTAGTGGATGTGGATGGTAGGCATGGGACATGGTATAAGGGAAGGTTTGGAGCCATGTATTCACCCTTGGCATCAGCACAATTAAATGGGCAGTCTCCCACCTGGGAGCAACTTAAGTTACATCAAAGGTATGCCAGGCGAAGCAGGTGGAAGGACTGCCCTAGACAAATGAGTGGCCAACATTTGGACTGGCCCCGGGACGGCCCACTTGTTACAATATGGAACACATGATATGTTTTAGACAACCTCCAGGTGCAGATGACAATAAAGGTATGCAGAAGAATAATTCTAAGCCACAAAAAGAAAGACATATTTAAGATTGCTCAGTTGGAACGTTCACTAGATTGTAGTACAACCATGTGATCGCCTCGAGCTGTGAAATGCTGTAATGTCCCATGTCTCCGCCTCTCCCAACCCTTTGCAACATGGCGAAGATATTTCTGAGAAACTATGAAAATGTGTACAAGAAACTCCTCCCCCCCTCCTTTTTTATTTTTATTTTTTGAAGATAGCATTTAAGACCACTTAGCCCTGAAACATAAGGAGTGGATTCTGTTAACAGCTGCCGTGGATGTAGTCTTCTTGCTCAGTCATTCCCTCTCACAAAAAGAGCTAGATCTAATAACAATACTAAAACTCTGACAGACCCTTACTTCAGCTAGAAGAATGCGACAGCAACCAGTTGCCCTTTGACTTCATCTAGTGCATTTCTAGTGTGAGCTTTGTTTTGCAAAACTCGTTATTCCCCTTCAGGCTACAGCATTCAATGAAGTTCTACATTTCCTGTGAAAAGATCATGAACTTTCCCCACCCCACCTCCCCATCATGTGCCCACATGTGATAGGGCAATCTGCATTCTTCTTCCTTTAACACACAGCCTTGTCCAAGGCACCAGAAATTATTTGCTGAGGCTCCTAAACGACATTAAGTACTCTATATTTAACAACCAAGCTCCCCTACTGCAATCTTGCAATCAGCCATTCACTAGGAATGTAATCAAACTGATGACAACAAGGAGCAGGGTAGCTCTTAACGTTTCCTGGTTCCCACACACTCTGAATGCATAAATCTGGCCAAAAAGCTCTAGCTTTTGAAAGCTTGTGTGCAAGGATTTCTTCATCATATAGATCTACTGTCTAGTCTGACAAATTATTAAGTGACTGAATCAAAATCAAACAATTTCCATCTACCTATATCTATAAGTGTAACAGAGTCCTTTCTCTTTTGTTTGCTAGGTTCTGATGATAGCACAGTTGAAATCCACATCTCAAGTGAGCTACATGACTTAGATGGTAATGATGCTGATGTTGAATAACTGGAAAACTGGGAAAGGTATAAGCTGGTGAGCTGGAGACGTGGCAACATTCTCAAGGCTTTGCCCCCTAGTTTTCCCTCCTTTATGATGCATGTATCTTCCCATTCTCACATTCAAATCCCAGTTTGAATCTATGACTCTATATGTATTTACACAAGATGGAGCAGTTCCAACAGAAGAGAATGCAAGAGCGACATCTCAGAATAGATAAGTCTGGCAAGTTTAGGCCCCTCTACTAAGAGGTGGGAAAATGGCAGAGCATGAACTTGAACTTAGGTCTTCTACATGCCATGGGAATACTATCATGCCATTGGCTATTCAGGTTGGGCTCTTCTCTCTCATTTTTCATGGAAAACTTTGGAAGGTATTGGTTTTATAAATTAGGTATGTTTTTACTGGAAGAAACCAAATCTATCTGGATTTGTAAATTGTGCATTACTAGCCAGTGAAAAATACCAGACTTATTGGCCTAGCTTTGCTTTATTTCAGTTTGTTAATCTGCCATAGGTTAGATTATCAGTCAGTGGATCTTTAGTCTGCACTAATTGAGGGTCTGGCCTTGTATATTAAGCAGTGGGACTTTTGTTCTGTTTAGGTGCTTTAGAGCTGGGGTGTAATACTCACTGGACTCCACAGACCAGATCTGTATTGAGGGGTGTCTTCAGGTTGAACAACCTGTGAGCAGTGGTGATAGTATTAATCCCCACAGTTGCCAGATACTTTTTCTGCACAGCTCTGGAACCCAGGGAATAAATACTGCTAGTGCTTGTTCCCCCTTACCTCCTGCTACCAACCTTAGTCACCAGGGGACACTAAAAATCATGGCAGAGCCTCTTTGGCAGCTGGTGAGGGGAGGTGAGTAATGTTAACTCCCTGGGTTTTGGAACTGCACTGAAACAATGGGATTAATGTCATTGCCAAAGAGATTCTGGCAGCTGTGACGGTGAACCCTAGGGGCCAAATCCAGCCCATGAAGACTGGTGATTCTTCTTATGAGAAGTCCTACAGGCTAGCTGACCCAGCTACATGGGCCACATCCAGCCTGTTGGTCATATGTTTAACAGCGTTGTTTTAGATTATTATACACAGTTATACACAGATGTGTATGTATATGTATACAAACACACACACACACACACACACACACACACACACA